ACTGCTGCGCAGCTGCAATGGCAGCGCGGGTTGCCGGTCGCGGGGCGGCACGAGCACGGGCAGCAGGCCATTTCTGTGACTTGTGGTGTGGCGGTCGCGAGCACAAGTGTGGGGGGAAAATCAGCCAACGTTACTGACGCACCATGGGTCATGGAGCTCCTTCACAGACAGATTCCGAGGTATTCTAAACGCACCTAGCAAGGTGCCAGGGAAAGGGATCAGCTTACACCCGCTTTTCGTGCGAGTGGGATCCCAGCCAGGGAACTCCAACGCCCCGCTTTCACCGTGGCACCTTTGAGAGATCAGGCGGGACGTAGTCGCTGTAGCCTAACATGTCGCTCTCAGGCGCTCGCCCACAAGGAGGGGCTATTCGTCATGACGCCGCGGGGAGGGGGGGGGGATAGGTTTTGCATCGAGAGCCTAGGACGTAGGACAGCACCGGGGGGTTGCCTGCATACAGGGGTATCGTAACAAAAATTGCCTACCTCTCGGGTGGCTCACTAGATACGAGAGGAAAGGGGGGGGGGGCGATCGACCTCCCCCTTCCCCCTTTTTCTCATCCTGCGCATGGGTTGAGTAAGGGGTTCGTCCAGATGGGTGAGTTGCTGCAGGGGCATAATATGCTCGAGCCCATGTCCCCGCGATGCGCCTGGTCAGCCCACTCCGTCTCCATGTCTACGTACTTATCCACGTGCACAGTGGCCGTGCGTTGTAGTCTTGCGCGTGGGCGTCGGTGGCTCCAGCTACTTGAATCGCCTTGTCACGCAAAGAAGGTGACGTCAGCTTTAACTGGCCAAGGGAAGAGAATCGGTCCCAAACTGAGCCATTAGTGTAGGCGGGGATCGTGATCGCCGGGCGTGAAAATCACGCTTTCCGTGAGAATCACGCTCGCTTTTAGGTAGCTCTGAATCCACCTTGATGTTTTGTTGATTTGTAGTGCGTTTCATAGGGAAGCTGTTGCTGGACTTGGGCTCGCAATCTGACTCTGTCGCTGGCGTTCTTAACCTCAACGGCACAACGGCCATCTTGTGTTTTGCTTTACTTTCTCGGCGCGAAATCAAAGTCACAGCAGAGCGCTGGCGGCTTAATCGTTTTCTTGTCTCCTTGCACCGCAATTAACTATCATCGTTGTGTGTTTCAGAAGCGGTAGATGACCCCGGCGTGGTCGCGCCCGGCCCCACTCCCCGCGCTGCAGCAGTAGATGCACCGGTGGTGCCGGCCCCCGCGGCGCCCGCAGCGTTACAAGTCGTTGCGTCTCAGCCAGGTCCGTCTCAGCAGCAGCAGCACCCGTACGCTCAGCATCCAGGCCCGTCTCAGCAGCAGCCGCCGTATGATTAGCATCCAGGCCCGTCTCAGCAACAGCCGCCGTATGCTCAGCAGCCAGGCCAAGGCTCGTCTCAGCAGCAGCTGTTCGCTCAGCATAGCCCGTCTCAGCAGCAGCCGTATCCTCACTTTCAGCCCATCCAATCTGTCCATCAGCCCCAAGCCAGCTTCCAGTTCGGCAGCCCTGTCCTGGTCGTCGCCCCGGCGAACGCCTACCACAACCCCCCCATCATCATCTGATCGCATGAGTGAGTACACCCTTGATTCCTCACAAACGAAACAAGTGCTTTAGGTAGTAAAAATGTGTTTGTACTAATTTTTGGCTCTCTTCGCTTCGGTTTCCAGCTTTAAGAAGAATGGCCGTGCCACGAGTCACTCTTCCCTGGGAGAGGCACCACAGGCCAAGGCGGCCAAACATGCTGGAGACAGCCCTGTCCAAGCTGTACGATGTTGGCGTCATCATGCCGGGGCCGTCCTCAGCCTGTTCAGCCGCCTCAGCCACAACAGCTATTGTACCCTGCACCCTTTCCCGTCCATGACCAACAGCAGCAGCCCGTGGGTCATGCCGTTTCAAGTACTTCAAGCGTCCGCCCCACAGTGGTCGGAAATCATCAAAAAGCGGCAATAACTCGACACGCGCTCCGTAGGCGGGGAGTAGTGCCGGGCGGTCAGCGTCCTCCGACCCGATCAGTATTAATCGCTTGATATCGTGAAATCTACCATCACACCATAACAAACCACATACCAACGGGTAGGGAATTTATCCTACTTCTACTAGTCTAACATACGTCGCTTTATAGATACGATTTTACCTTTGGCATGCATTCAAACACAACTATGAGGTCGCGCAGCGTCGCCCAAGAAACACTCACATTTTTTCCGTTTGCGCAAGTTTGCGCAAAATGTCTTTGTTGATATTGATAGGAGTAGCTTCCAGGATTGTCGTGCAATCTCCCGTTTCCCCAACAAACCCTAACATTTTTTTAAAAGTCAATTTACATTTCACCCTTGACGGCTGGTCGGCGAGATTTCCTGTATATACATAAATGGATGTTAAATGCGTAATTCTCATTCTAATGAGTCGTGCCTCATATGAGAGAGAAGGTGAAAGTACGCCCTTTCCGGTGGCACACAACTTTTTCAGTTCATTTGCAACGATATATTGTTTAGAAGAGGTCAAAGTAAGCGTAAAAGTTCGTCCGCCCGGCGCCGACTAACCTCTCAGCCGCACCGCAACTTTTGCATCGAGTTTTGAAATAACTGCGACAGTCTAGGACGTTTTATTTGTTTGAATATCAAAGTCTGATGCTTTATTTATGCAGCGGGTGGAAACTCTGATGCCGCTCTGAAACAAGGATCGACATTTAGGCTTTACCCCGGAAAACGCCATTTTGTCGTCCTTAATGTGAGAAAACGGAGAGACCAACTCAAAATCTGAACACAGCTATGAATTCAGCGTGTTGTTCTGTGTGCATTTCACTTCTTGGGTTTCGAAGAAAGAGGGTCTGTTCCCTAGGAACACACGTTCAATGGCAGACTGTTTCGTCAATTTCATGCAATTCAATCGCTGCATACCTGGTCTCAGTTGCACGGCGCCGGTTATTTATGATAATACAGAGTTGACGACTTCATGGCAGCTTTCTGCACAGGAAATTTACTCAGGATTCAGAATAAGACCTCGAAATTAACGTACGAGGTCCTGTTCTCTTGCATTAAGGAAGACAAGAAATCAATGCAACGTTTCGATCCTTGTCTCAAAGCGTCATCTTGACCCATTTTTTACATTCCTATGGCAAAATGACCTACTATTTCCGTAGACCGCGGCACTACATACAGCCTATACAACGTGAAATTTTATGAGGATTCCAAATATGTCCCCGGTTTTGGCCTGTCACGTCTGGTTTCTGATATCAAGAGCGTATAAAACACCTCTACATGCCTTTTTTGACAACAGAGTTTCCACCCGCTGATTTATGTAATCCAAACACTTTAGATACCGGACGGGTATTTCCAAAACGAACACTTATTGCCGCTTTTGGGCGATTCCCGACCACTGTGCGCCCCCATGGCAGTCCCTCTAGCAGCCGTGACACCACCCGCGGCCGCCCAGCCGGCGTCGGACGGCGGCCTCCCCTGCAAGGTGTGCTGGGTGGCACCGTCCGAGGGAATACTGCTGCCATGTAGACACGGAATGTGCTCACCATGCTTTGAGGGCCAGCTGGCGGCCCTGACCAATTCTGCAAGCTGCCCATGGATAGGGCTTCGTTTCATCTGTTTCGCAATTAGGTAATCACTTTGTTTGACTTGGCCATTGCCATTTTTAACTATTTATTTGTACTGCGTTTGAGTATCTCTACTGGGGCCGCATTCCCCCTGTTCTTTAATTTTAAGTAAGTTTGTTTGACTTGGCTGTTGCCGTTTTTTAGCTCCTTTTTAGTACTTCGTTTTAGTACCAAGTTGGAGTTCTCGTATTTTTATAAAACTTGTAACATTCTTGTTGTGTTTGACTGTTCAGAACACGACGGGAAGTGTTTTTCTCCTTGCCACTCACTGTTGGTCGTTGTTTCGTTTTCTTATGGTGTAGACCTGTCGTCTCCATTGTTGTAAGACCATTTATTGTGTTTTTAGCCCGCCCTTCTGCTTTTAAAAAAGCATTAAAGCGGGCTTATGCAACCGCTCTCGTGTCTGTCTGTCCGTCTGTCGTCCGTGTAGAGGAAGGAGATGAGCTAGAGGTCTACAAATTTCAGGGTATCTTAGGGGTCACTTCTGGACAACGAAACGCCTGGTGCAAATCCTGGCAACCACCCCAAAGGGGGTGAAAGGGGGTAACAAAGAAATAGGGGTTGGTCCAAAAAGTAGAAAATCAAATATTTTTTTATGGTCTCCTAAGGCACTGTTAAAGTCTTACGAAGAAAAATGCCAAATCCTTTGTAATACGAAGGATTTGGACGCTTCGTAGGGAGCAAATCCTTCGTAGGCACGAAGGATTTGGCATTTTGCTTCGTAAGACTTTAACTGTGGGGGTAACTCGTGAAAGTAGAGCCCTTTGTTTACTTTAGTTTACTCAAATATGCAAAGTAATTTACCGGTCACATTATTTATTTGATTATGCACTTCAGTAAATAGCGAGACTGAAATGGTCGGGCCTCGGCCCGACCATCGCCGCCGGCAGGCCAAGCAGGCCCGGCCCCTGCCGAACGGAGTTGCCGGCGAAGCGAAGTGGAGCTGGCAACTCCGTTTGGCGGAAGGGCGGGCCTGCTTGTTTTATATGAAACTTGGGAATTACAGTTGAGTTTTGGCATCTATAATATCCAGCAAATATAAACCTCCACGCGTGACTCATTAACGATACAAATGTTTCTCGAAAACGGCTCGGCCGATTTGCATCATTCAAAGTGCATTCGATTCTCCTCGTCGACAATTGGGGACCGAAAATGTGTCAAAAGTGACGAAATGTGAAAAATACCCGTTCAAAATGCGTTAAAACGGG